CCTAAGTTCTAGAGTAGGGATAAAGAATTCTGTTTCCAGTCTTAGGGGCTATAGATTCCTTGTATCGAGCATCTGGCAAACTGCGTTCTGGGAAATACTGTCCTAGTGTGTTCATCAGGAACCAAAAATGCTCTCCCCACAGCACTGAAAATATTCCCACTCAGTTCTGAGAATCCCTGCTCAAGGAAGGCGGAGGGAACAGTCACTGAAGTCAAGCCTGTGGGCTTATCACATCTTCCGTGGCACATTCTAACAGCATGTTTGTGCTTGTTCTTGTTTCTTACAGCACACAATCAAGGCCCTTCAGCTGAAAAGTACTTTCAATGGGTCTCTCAGAACACTTGTTAGACAGGAAGGCTCACTCGGGCTAGGGCATTTACTTTATCTAAGAAAAGAACCCAGCTCTCTGTGCTACAACGATGCCATTAAAGAAACGACTGAGGTTCATGCATTTTTTAGTCACTGCCTCAGCAGAGAAGGTGCTGGCCCCTGGTGTTACTCAGCCTGGTGGTACTTCACAGGGTGACTCATGCTCTGGTGTCCCGAAGAATGGGTTCTTTGAGGGAAATTATCCATGATGTGAAACATCTAGGGTCCAGACGACGGTTAAAGGAAAAGAAAGAAAAGTCAGGTGTCATCAGCCTTCATTGGGAAATTGCTCAAATGAGAATATGGCGCGGGGGAAATGGAGAGAGGAGAGGAAAGAGGGATGGAGAGGAAAAAGGAAAGAGGAAAGAGCCCCTGTGGAGGTGAGGAGAAAGAGAGAAAGGGAGAGAGGGCAGGGAAGCAGACTGGCTGTGTAGGAGGTAGGGCCGATGTGAAACGGGAGGAAAGAGGTCTAGTGTTCACTGAATGTCCTTTGTGTGCTTGGGAAGGGCAGAAAGAGGGGTTAGAACAGGAATTTTTGTAAAAAGTCACAGGCAAAGTCACTGGACTGGGGCTTTAAGAAATGAGAACTACTAAAATCCCCTAGGAATATATCCCCCCCTTGGAAAACACTATGAAGAGCCAAGTTCAAGACCAACTTTCTTCAAAGTCGACAAGATGAGTGTAAAAATCTACCAAAGATATGACCTGCGAACTGAATGATCAGAAAAGAGCCCTAACCACCAAAACATGCTGGCAGTTGGAAAAAAACAGAGGTGAGAGTTTCTACCCACTACGTGCTTCTCTGACATTTCTGCAGGCACCCAACCCCAGTCCTTTGGCTGTGTCCAGGACCACACATCTGACTGCGTGGCACCGAGAGCAAAGTTCGCCCTGAACCCCTCGGAGCCAGTTCTCCTGCCAACCCATCAGATATCTACATATGGTAGAGATTCCAAGATTGTGATGGGAGACTTAGCAGAGCAGTGGGGGAAGGAATGTGGAAGAAGCACGTTTTATTCATTCTTTGGGCAATCAACTAGAACTCCCTGCTTACTTGTCGGGCTAATTCAGCTTTATCCACAGTCCTCTGATATCTAGCCTTCTCGCTCAGATCAATGGGGATTCCATTTTAATTTTGCTCAAGTATCATGATTTTTTTTTTTTAACCTTCTGCTTCGTGGCAGAAAGCATTTAAGCTTAAACTCAACAGCTTGGAATGATAACCAGAGACCCACACTACGGTCTCATTCATCTAAAAGCTTTCTGTGGAAAGGTAGGGGACAGATACTATATATACATGGGTCAGTAGCCTCCCCAAGTGTGGGTGAGATGGGGCCCCCATGTTAATGGGCTCTCCCCTAGATGGAGAATCTCCCCGCACAGGGGAACTGGAGAGTGACAGTCTGACCAGAACAGGAAGAATCATCGCAGAAATAAGATTTCTAGCTTGACACAGGTAAACACTGTGAATGCCAGGAGGAGAAATTAGAGGGCAAGGATGGGCATGGGGGACACAGAGGCTTCTGAGACACCTGTGAAGGCAGAATGAAAGTGACAGAGACCTTGAGGGAAAGCAGATGAAACCAGAGGCTCTTCTGACAGAGGCCACAGGGGAGCCGTATCTGGAGGACTGGGCTCAGAACACCATATGGTGGTAGCTCTGTGAATGGGAAACTACAGTTATTCAGCTGGCATTTGAGGGACCATGGAAGAGAGATTTCAACCCGATATCTGGAAATCTAGGGTCCAGGTAGAAAAGGCTCAACTTCCTCATGCAGGAGAGCTACAAGCGGAGTCCACGTTTGTCTTCCAGGTGGGAGAACCAGTAGAAGACGAAATAGAGAAGCCACAGGAGAAAAAGCAGAACAGTAAAGCAAAGTTCTATCGTCCTAAGTGATATAGCATCCACAGCCACGTTCCTGCAATGTCTGCAAAGCTGAGTTGCTTCGACAGACACCGTGTGGTCCACAAGGTCTAAAATGTTTACCCTCTGGTCCTTGACAGAAGAAGTTGGCCACCTCCCTGGTCTAGACCCTGCAGCTGACGCTGGCCTGATTCTGGGCAGGTGGTACAGTCTGCTGCCATACCAGGTCCCTCATGGTAAGCAGAGACCATTAAAAAAAACTCCTGCTAGAGAGCCAAAACTATTTTATAAATGACTGAACCAAATGACGAACCAAATTTATGGTAACTTCGAGGTCCCTCTCAAGCAGCAGGGAGCACAAGAAGAGATAAAAGGTGCTAAGAAAATACGAAAAAGCTCAAAGCTGTGTGCTGGCTCCTAAGAATGTACAGTATTTGGGGGATTGTACATTGCTCCCCGCAAAGGCCTATGCATCTGAGATATCTTTGAGAAGCAACTTTCACTGAGTGACACCCCGTGCTCTGCTAGTCATAGGAAAAGGAGACAAAGAAAGGTGACATGTATTGGTTGATTTGTTAAAGTACATTTCTTTGAGCACAACTTAGAAATAATCCGGTATATTACTTTTGCTGATTTATTTGTGGTTATATGAGCATGTCCACACACACACACACACACACACACACACGTATAATTTCCTTAATAATGGCACCAAATTAGTGTGCATTGGTGTATGTGTGTGCATGTGTGTGTGTGTTTACAGGTGGTTATTTGTATAACTCATACCAACAATTTAACAGTACAAATAATTGACATCCAAAGATTGGTTGGTATGTGTACTTTAAAATTCCTGGGTGCAGTAATATGCAAACTCCTGCATATACAACTCCGTTTAAAAAATATACACACTTTGGAAAGCAGTATGGCATTTTCTCAAAGAACTAAAAATTGAGTTACCATACAATCCAACAATCCCACTTCTGGGAATAAATCCAGAGGGACAGAAATCCCTCTATCAAAAAGACAACTGCACATATTATGTTCATTGCAGTACTAGTCACAATAGCAAAAACATGGAACCAGATGTCCATGGAAAGTGGACTCGATAAAGAAAATGTGCTTTTTATTTGGATCTCTGCCTGTTTGTTGTTGGTGTAAAGAAATGCAACTGTCTTTTGCACATTTATTTTGTACCCTGAGACTATGCCAAAGTCCTTTATCAGGGCAAGCAGGTTTTTGATAGATTCTCTTGGATTTTCAAGGTATAGGATCATATCATCAGCAAAGAGGGATAACTTGACTTCCTCTTTTCCTATTTGGATACCCGATTTGCTTCTCTTATCTAATTTCCCTAGCTAGGACTTCCAGCACAATATTGAACAAGAGGGGTGAGAGTGGGCAGCCTTGTCTTGTTCCAGTTTTCAGGAACGAGACATATACATATATAGGACAAGACATAGAATGAGGAGAAATGGTTCTAGTTTCTGTCCATTTAGCAATATGTTAGCTGTGGGTTTGTCGTAGATGGCACTTACTCTCTTGAGGTACGTTCCTTCTATAACTGGGTGTTTGAGGGTTTTTATCAAGAAGGGATGCTGGATTTTATCAAAAGCTTTTTCTGCTTCTAATGAGATAATCACGTGATTGTTTTTACATCTCTTGATGTATTTAATGACATTTCAAAAACATGAAACCAACCGTGTGTTGCCCTTCGAAGCTGGACTGGATGAAAAAAAATGTGGTACATATACACAATGGAATATTATGCAGCCATAAAGAAGGACAAATATATGAACTTTGCAGCAACTTAGATGGATTTGGAGTCGATCATACTCAGTGATTTGTCACAGAAACAAAGAACAGGGTTCCATATGTTCTCACTCATAAACGGATCTTGAACAACTATAATGCTATAAGAAAGCGATTGGCAGTAGTGGAAAACTGTCGGTGGGGGCGTGCGGGGGGATTGGCAGTTGAGGGAAACTGTCAGGGAAGGGAGCGGTGTACCTCATCAACAAGGGTGCCTGCATGGTCAATGTTTGTATACCTAACCCTGAATTGTACCCCACATCTTTATAACAAAATTTTTTAAAATGTAGTACATATACTTGATGGGAATACTATGCAGCCATTAAGAAGAGCAAAATCACATCCTTTTTGCAGCAACATGGATGCAGCTGGAGACCATCATTCCAAGTGAACTATCACAGAAACAAAGACTGAATACCATATGTTCTCTCTCAAAAGTGGTCCCTAAACATTGGGCACATAAACACAAAGATGGGAACAACAGATGCTCGGCACTGCTAGTGTGTGTGGGGGGTGGATAAGAGGCACACAACCACCCACTGGATACCATGTCCACTACCAGGGTTCACGAGAAGCCCAAACTTTACTTGCACACAACTTACTGAAGTAGCAAATTCTCACATGCATCCCATAACTCTAAAATGAATATTTTATTTACACACACACACACACACACACACACACACACACACACGTATACATGCATACACTAACAAGGACCTTCCATTTTCTCTGCAGAATTTGTGAGATATGGTCTCCCAGTCCTGCCATGCTGAGGACGATGGGTAATTATCCACAGCTACCCAGTATTCTCTCAGTTGCACCCAAGGAGATGGGAGACGGAAGAGGCCCTCCTAGACCATGTGAAATGGACTGACCATCTTTGGTCCATGTGGCCACAACCCATGTGAGGGTTTACAAGTACAGTGCCTAGTCATCAGGCCCTCACTGAGGTCACCTTTTCTGAATGGGTCCTGGTTCTCCTCTGCTTCCCTGTTGACTCGATTCTGTTCTGGTTCAACGGCAGGGCCCTGGTCATCAAGTTCATATTCTGTTTCGTCATCGCTATAGGGAACCACTTCATCATTAGGCTGAGAATCCTCCTCGAATGTTGTTTCTGAGTCTCTTTCTGAATTCATTCTGCTAGCAAATTGGAACTACCTGGTTGGAGAGAAAGGGAAACCAGAGTGAATTACATCTCTTGCGCCATTTTGGGTTGAATTCAGCCTGTATCCTGTTACAATGACCCCTTAATAGAACATCATCTCACACATAAATATCTCTGAATAATGACCCTAAAGTCCAACTTAACACACACAAAAGAACAAAATCTTTCATTGTTGATTAAATACTTGGGTAAGAATTAAGAAAAAAATAGCTGAGACCCACCCACCCACAACCCCTTTAAAAAAAAAAAAGGTAAGGCCAGGCCCAGTGGCTTACACCTATAATCCCAGCACTTTGGAAGGCCAAGGTGGGAGGATTGCTTGAGCCCAGGAATTTGAGACAAGCCTAGGCAACATGGTGAGGCACCCTTGCTGCAAAAAAAAAATCAAAAAAATATTAGCTGGGTATGATGGCATATACCTGTAGTCCCAGCCACTCAGAAGGCCGAGGCAGAAGGATCGCCTGAGCCCAGGAAGTCCAGGCTGGGGTGAGCTGAGATCATGCTACTGCATTCCAGCCTGGGCAACAAAATGAGATCACAACTCAAAAAAAATTTTTTTGTTAACTATTTACAATTTAAGGCAGTCTTTCAAATTGACGGTCTCTCTCCAGTGAAATAAATTGAGTAGGCCACAACCAATATTAAAATAAAACGAAACACAACAAAATATCAGATTGCAGCACATATAGTAAGTACTGTTTAATAAAACAGTTTTACAAAACTGACACATCCATGCGTTTATTTGCATTGTGGGTATTCATGGAATTGAATTTCTTACTGTGGATTGCTGGCAAAGTTGGAAAAACCACTGCCCTGAGGTCTCTGGTTACTACTAATGCTAATATTCTCAGCCTTTACCCTGTGACCCATTTTAAATGCAACCTTAGGTCTTCAAATTTTACTAATGACTTCCCAGGAACACTCCCTGGCCACTCTGTCTTCCTAACTACCACCATCCACTCTGTATCTAGAATTTGTGTTTGCGTGTCAACTGTATAAAGTGACTCTACACAAATGATAAGAACCTTATTTGTCTTAGAAAAATAGTCACACAAATACCTCAGGTTACTTGAGGAGAGAAACATAGCCTGGCGTTATTTAAAAAGCATCACACTTCCATGTCCTTGGTAGTGTTAATAATAGCAGCTCCCATTTATTTGGTGTTAACTGTATTCCAGGATCTGCACTAAATCCTTATAGGCACTGGCTCCTCGAAACTTCCCACACCACCACATGAAGGTATTATTGTTATTTCTACACTACAGAGGAGAAAAACCCAAACTCTGGAATGTTAAATAACTTGCACGATTATTAACATTTTGAAGCAAAAACAATTCCTCTCCCAAAAGAGATCTATGCTCTGCTTCTACGTTATATTTTGTAACATATTTTAATTGAGTGTAAATTGCCTTGAATGAAGCTATTTAGCCGACTGCATGTTCCTGGCCAAAATCTAACATCTTAGACACCTAATATATATTTTTAAATATATTATATCAATACATTTTTAGAGACAGGATCTTGCTGTGCTGTCCAAGCTGGAATGCAGTGGTGCCATCCTGGCTCCCTACAACCTCAAACTCCTGGGCTTAAGTGATGCTCATACATCAGCCTCCCAGTAGCTTGGACTATAGGCACATGCACCCATGCCTGGTTGTCAATTTTTTTTTTTTTTGTAGAGATAGGGTATTACTATGTTGCCCAGTCTGGCCTCGAACTCCTGGCCTCAAGTGATCCTCCTACCTAGACCTCCCAAAAGTGCTGGGGTTACACTGCACCCAGCCCTAAAATAACTTTTATATTCACAAGTAGATATTTGCAAATATTTATATGAAGGTCGTTCTCTGGTATTACTTAAAACAGTAAAGCAACCTGAACGTATGATTGTCAGTTATGAAATTCTCATACTATGAGACAGTGTGCAACAATTTTGATTATGATTGGAAGAGTATCTAACGACATTGCACAAGTTCAAACACATTAAGTTAAAAGGTGAGTTATAAATTCGTACATACAGAATAGTCCCAGCTATTCATACACACACATCTGTTCACTTTCTAAAATTCTAACAACAGGCATTGTTTTGAGTGAGATGACATGGGCCAAGTGCTCAACTTAATGCTAGCCTACAGTAAGTACTCAGTAAACATCAGCCACTCTTCTATCATCTACTTGCTGGTTATTTGTATGTCTTCTTTTGAGAAAAGTCTATGTCCTTTGCCCAGTTTTTAATGGGATTATTTGTTTTTGAGTTGTTTGAGTTCCTGGTATTTTTTGGATATTAGTCCCTAGTTGGATGAATAGTTTGCAAATATTTTCTTCCATTCAACAAGAGACACTTCACTCTAGTTTTTTGGGTTTTGTTGTTGTTGTTTGAGTCAAGGTCTCTCTCTGTTGCCCAGGCTAGAATACAGTGGCATGATCATGGCTTGATGAAGCCTTTACCTTCGTGGGCTCAGGCGATCCTTCCACCTCAGTCTCCCAAGTAGCTGGGACTGCAAGTGTGCACCACCATGCCTGGCTAATTTAAAAAATTTTTTTATAGAGACAAGGTCTCACTATGTTCCCTAGGCTGGTCTTGAACTCCTTGGCTCAAGCGATTCTCTTGCCTCGGTCTTCCAAAGTGCTGGGATTACAGGTGTGAGCCATCGTACCTGGCTACGTTACTCTGTTAACTGTTTGCTATGACATGCAGCAGCTTTTTAGTTTAATATAGTACTATTTGTCTACTTTTGTTTTTGTTGTCTGTGCTTTTGAGGGTTTAGATATAAAATCTTTGCCTAGAGCAATGTTCTAAAGTGTTTCCCCTGTTTTCCTCTAGTACTTTTGTAGTGAGTCTTTTTTTTTATTTTAATTTTTTATAGAGCCAAGGTATCTTGCTCTGCTGTCCAGGCTGGAGTCTGGCACAGTCACAGCTCACTACAGCCTCAACTCCTGAGCTCAAACAATCCTCCCATCTCAGCCTCCCGAGTAGCTGGGACTACAGTCATGCACCACTACATCTGTCTAACTTTTTACTTTTCATAGAGACAGAGTTTTACTGTATTGCTAAGGCTGGTCTCAAACACCTGGCCTCAAGAGAGCCTCCCACCTCGGCCTCCCAAAACACTGGGATTACAGATGTAAGCCACCACATCTAGTTACATTTAAGTCTTTAATCCATCTTGAGTTGACTTTTGTATATGGTGGGAGATGGAGGCTTAGCTTAGTTTCATTCTTCTACCTATAGATATCCAGTTTTCTCAGCACCATTTATCGAAAAGGGTACACTCTCCTTGGTACTTTTGCCGAAAATCAGTTGGCTGTGAATGCACGGATTCTCTGTTCTGTTCCATTGGCCTATGCCTATGTGTTTGTTTTTATTACAATACCATGCTGCTTTGGCTACTATGGCTTTCTAATATATTTTGAAGTCAGGTGGTGTGATGCCTTCAGCTCTTTTTTTTGAGTCGGAGTTTCATTCTGTCACCCAGGCTGGAGTGCAGTGACACTCTCTCAGACTCGCTTGCTCACTTCCTTCTGCCCCAGTCTTCCAAGTAGCTGGAACCACAGGCATGTGCCACCATGCTCATCTAAATTTTTGATTTATTATAGAGACAAGGTCTTGCCAAGTTGCCCAGGATGGTCTTGAACCCCTGGGCTCAGGCAATCCTCTTGCCTCATCCTCTCAAAGTGCTGGGATTAAAGGTGCGAGCCACCGTGCCTGGCCCTCCAGCTTTGTTCTTTTTGCTCAGGATTGTTTTGGCTATTTCAGTTCTTTTTCTATTCCACATTAATTTTAGGATTGTTTTTTCTATTTCTGCAAAAAAAAAAAAATGACATTGGTATTTTGATAAGGATTGCACTGAGTCTTAGACTACTTTGGGTAGTATGGTTATTTTTAACAATATTAATTCTTCCACTCCAAGATCAAGGGGAGTTTTTCCATTTGTTTGTGTCCTCTTCAATTTCTTTCATCCATGTTTTGTAGTTTTTCTTGTAGTGGTCTTTTGCCTTCTTGGTTAAATTTATTTCTAGGTAATTTTTTTTTGTAGGTATGGCAAATGAGATTGTTTTCAATATCACTGATCATTCGGGAAATGCAACTCAAAACCACAGTGAGATATCATCTTACCACTGTTAGAATAGCTATAATGAAAAAAGATAACAGCTGGGCTTGGTGGTTCAAGCCTGTAATGCTAGCACTTTGGGAGGCTGAGGCAAGAGGATTACCTGAGCTCAAGGCATTCAAGACCAGCCTGGGAAAATTGGTGAGATCTCCTCTCTACAATTAAAAAAGAAAAGTAAGCTGGGTGAGGTAGTATATGCTTATTGATCCAGCTACTTGGAAGGCCTGAGGCAGAAGGATCACCTGAGCCCAGCAGGTTGAGGCTGTAGTGGCTGTGAGCCTGCCACTGCACTCCAGCCTGGGCAAGAGAGTGAGACTCCAACTCAAAAATAAATAAATGAATAAATATAAAAAATAAATAAAATACTTGCAATCCCAGCACTTTGGGAGACCGAGGCGAGTGGACTGCCTCAGCCCGCAGGTTCAAGAACCGCCCAGGCAACTTGGTAAGACCTTGTCTCTACGATAAATCAAAAATTAGGTGGGTGTGGTAGCGCACCCCTGTAATTCCAAGGGGTTTTGGAAGGCTGAGGCAGAAGGATCACTGGAAACCAGCAGGTCGAGGCTGTGGTGGCCAGGAGCATGCCACTGCACTCCAGTCTGGGCAACGGAGTGGGACTCCAACTCAGAAAAAAACAAACAAAAAAAACCCTCAAATAACATTAAAAAGTCTTCAAAAAGAAGATGACAACAGATGCTGGCAAAGATGTAGAGAAAAGGAAACTCTTATACACTGTCAGTGGGAGTGTAAATTAGTACAGCCACTATGGAAGACAGTATAGAAATTTCTCAAAAAAGTACAAATAGAACCACCATATGATCCAGCAATCTCACTATAGGAATTTATCTAAAAGAAAGGAAAT